TAAGAGATACCAACATTTCCTCCTAATCAGAATTTATTTGGAGGCACCATGTTTTCTATGGGGATTCTCAGTCATCCAGGTCATGGCTATCCCAACGGTGCTTTTTCAAGAGGCAACTGAACTTTCTGATTTTTCTTTGAAGACGTTTCCCTTCTCAACCACCAGAGCTGAAGAAGCTTCTTGGATGAGAAACAAAACGTCTTCAAAGAAAAAGAAGAAAGTCCAGTTGCCTCTTGAAAAAGGACCTTTGGAAGACAATGTGTTGTAGAGGGAAATCTATGTGTATAAATACAAGAGACCACTATGAGGTCACCCCTGAGTTAAATATGGGAAGACATGGGACTGATTAAAAGAAGTAAATGCTTATTTGCTTATCTATTAGATTTTTTAATGTGGTGTATAAATTAGACTGTGGAGTTCCCTGCTATCAGATTGGTGATGGCTACTAATTTAGAAATATTTTAAAGGAGATTGGAAAAATCATTGCTATGCTATTCTATCAACAGTTATAGTTTTGATATTTTTATACTTTTTAAATCACAGCACACTTAACTATCAATTGCTAGGAAGCAACAATGGAAAAGGGATACTTGTTTATGAAAATTCTGAATGCAGTCTGGTTCCACAAGACAACACAAAATGCTGGATTAGATGAATCATTGGCTCGTTTCCACAGAATCCTTCTTCTGTTTCTATGCTCTTATTGCAGAGAAAAATTAAGCAGGACAAAGGACAATTCCTTTTCATAATACAATGTACTTTTGTGTATTTGGAAGAGCCTTTACCAACCATATGGCCCCCTGGTGTTTCTGTCTACAAACCTCAACATTCTCAGCCAGAAGGGTAATGAAATTCTTATCAAGAGGTTGCTTTTTATTAATGTTGACCTATAATTCAATTTGAAACACTAAGACAGTTATAAATGACAGTAAAATAAGTTCTCAAGAGATAAGACTCACTTCCTCCAGTGGCTCTGAAATTTCTGAAAATTTTAAATCTCTATATTCATCAGTGCCCCGTAAATTAGCAACTGGACACCTATGATGGTTTCAGCTAGCAAACACTGTTCTTCTCAGAGACCAATATGTCCAAGAAGTTTGCCTTTTCAAACTGTTCCATCTGTTTTGGTAGCAGTTTCATTTAATCCATCAAAATAATATTTGGCATGAAATAAATTTTACTCTTTCTTCCTCAGTCTCAATAAAAATTGCCCAATTTGCCAAACTTATCTAAGCTTTTTTACTGACACAGCACATTTTAAAACAAAATTGTAATGGTGGAAGCTTCTCAACTTAAATTACAGAATTACAGCCTAATTAGTCCAATATGACAGACAGTCTCTTTTGGATGAGTCTGTTCACTTAATTCTTTTTGTCAGATTGCAAATTCATTGATATGGTTTATATTTATATGGTTTACATTCAAGGAGAATAAATTATTTTACAAATGTGTTGTTATAAGAGTTACTGCATCTTAACTAATATTTAAGAACTCTGAAGCCTCTGATACTAGCTTCCTTTCTTTATTATGCCAGAGATGTTGTGATTAGATTAATATTTTTCTGAAGGCACAATTTTATAACTGTTAAAATAAAAATGATCTTAATCTTGGATTCATACATTTAAAATCTTTCTGGGTGGAATGACCCTGTTATGGAACAAGGAATGTAATGAACTGGATATTAAATGCCAAATATTATCAGGATATATAAGTATCTAAAATCCCAAGCAGGTTCTATTCTTTCTGAGGAAAATAAATAAAAGATGAACTACTCTGATCATTTCTTTTATCATCATATATGCTGAAAATATGTAGGCTTTGGTGATGTAACATATTATATTTCTTAAAATTTCCAAATTTCACTATAGTACTATAATTTACTTTTCTCTGATCTGGCAGTTCTTGTTTTAATTGGAAGTGAAACTCCAAGGATACCCAGCAGCATGGATACTGAGGCAGGCTGGGAATTTTGGGAATTGTTGGATCCAGGACATCTGGAGTGTGTCAGATTGTGGAAGGCTGCTATAATATTTTGCTTTACTGAGATATAGGAGCCCTATGTCCAATTTCTCAGAAAAGTTGCTTTCCAGCTGCACGGCAGCTAAAGAACAATATTCCATTTGAAATGTTGCTTATTTGTATTCAATCTGATTTTAAAATAAATAGTCCTGAAAAGGCACAGCAGAAATCTTGAAGTTGTTCATCAACAGACAGTAGCTTGACAGATTAATGTTTGATTTAGTCCTTGCATCCTGCAACCAAATCATAATCCAACACTGAGTAGCAAGTGTTAATATTTATTTCTTAGGGCTAGATTGAATTCTTAAAAACTTTTGATAGTTTTACCAAGGCTGCTTGGAACTCTCCCTTAGACTAGTTGGAGACAGAAGTGTAAGAAGCCAGCTTAATTGGTAAAGCAGGCTATATCCTATCTATTACAGACTATAGTTGAAGTAAGCATATGTTGAAATAAAAATAAATTGTAACCATGTTAAAACAAAAGCCCATTTTGATTCTTGGCTTCTTTCCTTTCTGTTTTAAATATTTAGATAGACCAACCTTCATGTGATCATAATCAAGGAAGAACCCTGAATGTCCCTAATCCATGGTGGCACAATGGTTAGAGTGCTGAACTGCAAGCTATTTCTGCTGACTGCCAGCTGCCTGCAATTTGGCAGTTCAAATTTCACAAGGCTTAAGGATGGAAGGATTCAGCCTTCCATCTTCCACGGTTGGTAAAATGAGGACCCAGATTGTTGGGAGCAATATGCTGACTCTGTAAACTGCTTAGACAGGGCTGTAAAGCACTGTGAAGTGGTATATAAGTCTAAGTGCTATTGCTATCCTTAATAAAGAACTATAATAAAGTACAATTAGAGTATAATGTAAGAATTAAAAGGGCATTGAAAAATTCACTACATTTTGAAAAGATGTGCTGATCTGCACAAAAATTCAGTTCTTGTAAATGATTTTAGGAGCTGCCATCAGTTTCCATTCTTGAACAAACATTTACACATTTTGATGGCTTGAGAAATAAGTTGAAATATAACCCCACTGATCTCAAAGGGCATAGATTTCTCCCCTTTCTCTCAGACATTTCCTCATTGTTTATTTAACCTTAGTTTGTTCTTTTTTAAAATTAACCTTCTATAATTCCTGGCTATCCTCAAACTTCATCAGTTAGAACAATCTCCCCTTTTATAAGAAGAATCAAAAAGACATGAATCACCTTAAGAATGGTATTCTTTTGTGGTTCAGCTACCCACAGCACTCATTCCAATTTATCTTGGTCAAGAAGAAGCCTCAGATACAGTTAAGTAGAAAAACATGGCTAGCTAAGTGAGTTATGTTCATGGTGTTAGTAACCCAAAGCTAAAACACAGTGGTAGAGGTCACATTTTGCATGCTGAAAACACCCCATTCAGTCCCCTGCATGTGTAGTCATGGGTGGAACAAGACACCTGCTAAGTCACTTCACTTTAATGCTATTTTTATGAAATCAATAAAGAACAGACATGGAATACCTGCATGGCAGTGTTTGAACAAGCACCTGTCCTCGGCTTCCAGATTTCTATTGTAAAGTATAAATGCAGTATGGAAAAAAGGCCTTTTTCTATTTTTCAGTTAATTACATGGATTGCATAAATATATTCATGTATATGCATACGAGCAAGCAGAAATTCTACATCTTTAAACTTCCAATCCAGTGAATGGCTATTAGGCATTTTTAGGCTTCAGTAAATCCCACAGGGGTTTAATGAAGAGATCTGCGTGGAGGAAACAGCACAGAAAACTATTGTCTATCAATCAGTCTGTTTGTTTACCTTATCAAACCTTATACAACTTGGGGCTCCCTAGATATGTTGACTACAATGCTCATCATCACCAGCCAATATGACCAATAGGGAGAGGCTGACCAAGCTGGATATTTTTTTGCTTGGACTGACAAAATCTGGTTGAAACTGTGGATGGATTTAGCTGATTTTTTAAAACTTCCATGTAGTAAGAATTAGAAATCTGGGACCACTTGTCATGCTAAGCATATACAGGAACCTGAGAAAAAGCTAAAGGTACATAAGCTAAAATCTTCTGAAAAAGAACCATAAACAGACCAAGCCAACATTTCCCCTTAACAAGCCTATGGACACAAGAATATTTGTAAATAGCATCTGTCATCAATTCCTACAGCCATTGTGACTTGAGAACTGCGTTTGGAATCACAACATGCCAAACTACACGCTATGCAAAATGTATTTCATCAAAAAGAAGTCTGAAGCATAAATTTGAAAATCACAGTTATATTCTATATGCATGTAGAAACTATGATCAGACCATCTCCCGATACCATATCTCACCTCAATGGTACAATAGTATATCCAGCTTTCATATTTTAGAAAATTGATTAAACATAACAGTTTTAAGGAAAAGATTACTGCAAAGCAATGGAGGTAAAGAGGACCAAACTGTACAACTGATGATGCCATTAGAAGGCTACTCCCATCATATTTTTAAACCGCTGTAGAGTGACTAAGATTTAATTGAAATTAGGAAAAATCAGAAAATGTAATCTGTAAATTTCATTAAGGTCTCATCTACCTTTCTCATCCCCCAAAGTAGATCATAAGCATAATCACTGTTCTATTCTATTCTATTCTATTCTATTCTATTCTATTCTATTCTATTCCATTCCATTGTAGTTGGAAATCATGATCACATGACTGCAGCTAACTGTTGCAATGCTGCAGCGACCACAACTTTGCAAATAAACTGTATGAAGATCCTAGAAGATTCCCCGGGAATCATAAGTCCTGAATTTTGGATGCATTCTTTAATTTAGCCCATTTGAGGTACCTTGGTTCAAAAATGGTTGCTCTATAATGCACCATTTTGCCCAAATGAAGATTACAAACAGAAAAACAGACAGGAGAGTTTAAATAGTATATACATTTCCTACTATCAATGAAGAAAGAGAAACAAACAAGGCATAGAATGTTACCTACCTCAATAATATAAAGAACCACATTCTTATAAAAGCAATACAATATGCATTTTGTCACTCGATTGTAACTCCAGGCTCCATGGACAAGTAACAGCTTCTCCAAGTAGGAAAACTAGGAGGGAAAAAGATCAATTGTGTGCCATCAAATTACTGTCAACTCTTAAATGGTGTTTAGTTTTAAATTCTAGACCATTCATTGCTTGGTGACATTAACTTAGATTAAATTACTCTAAAGTTTTATATGTACCACAACAGACATGCCTGGAATATTGAACATGGAGCATTCTATTGGCTTTAAGTTCTGACTGCAGCACATGTCCCAATTTAAGTAGCTACTGTAAGTAACATGAGCAGGAAATGCTATTGAATTCCTGCTTGTGGGTTTCCCTTAAAGAGAGATTGGCTAATGTGGGATACTAGATTAGATGCATCTTTGTTGTTCAGTGTAACTTTTCTTAGGCAGAACATTATATCATGATCTTGTGACAAGATTCAATTCCATACTACATGTAATTGGGAAAAAATACAAATGCAAACCTGCCTTCATAAAAATTCATAAAACTAGTTTTTATCTTCCTATGTTTTTAGTATAATGCCTCTTCTTTGTACATCTAGACTAAAACCTGTCTTAAATTTATGAGTTTCCTAGGAAGAGAGTCTGTCTGGTGCAGTGGTGAAGAAATGAGGAAATGGTGAGTTCTAGATCTTTCTTAGTCAGGAAAGCCAGCTTGATGACTTTGGGTGAGTCACTCTGTCTCAGCCACTTCACAGGCTTGATTTTAAGGGGAAAATTGGAGACAGGTGTATTAGATGTGCTTGTCATCTTTAGATAGATGATAGATAGATAGATAGATAGATAGATAGATAGATAGATAGATAGATAGATAGATAGATAGATAGATATGGATGAGTAGATGAACAGATAGACATATAGTTATTTAAAAAATGATACTCAGAGTAGTGGCTTATGGCAGTGGTTAAAGATATTTAAAAGACACAGTTCTAGAGGGTTTTATGTGCTGAAATGATTATCCAACAATCTATGTGTAGTGGAAAGGAACTGGATAGCATCCCTTTCAGTTGAAAACAGCAGTCAGATATTAAATGCATATGTGTTATGTGGGACTTATTCCCAAGTAAACATTGACCAAATCACAGGCAAATGTGTAGAATTCTGGATATTGGTTAGACTGTTTTTACAATATAATTTTTAAATTGATCTAGTAAATCATTATATTACCATTCTATGTGTTTTAATTGATATTGTAGTAGCCTCACAAGGTGTCATTTACTCCTCAGCCCTACTTATATCTCAGAAGCAAGTTAAAACAATTTTTTGCTCAGACTGTGGGGCCTATTTAGGCTATCACAGGAAATGGACTGTTTTAGTTTTAATTGCTTATGTTGAGCTTATTATTTTTTCTGCTATTCAAAGCCCTTAGTCTGACAGGACTAGGGCGGGCTACAAATTTGGATTGATTGATAGACAAAGACAGATAACCAACCCTACCATGGATGTTTTAATTGTCGTCTTGGGACTGTAAACCTCAAGGAATTCCTGGCAGATTCAGCAATAATAAACACACTTACTTAGGTAATGGTGAAATAACAGAATTATCTGGGGCTTTGTATAAATTGAAGAACTGCAGCTCCCACCAATTTCAGCTTAAATATGTGATGCTGATTTATGTAAGCTGCCCAGAGTCACTGGAGATGGGTGGCATATAAATTTAATTAATAAATAAATCATGAGGAATGTTGAGAACTGAAGAACAGCATCCACAGAATCTGGCCAGACACAAGTTCAAGTCCTTCTCTTATGCTAGTCATAGGTTCAAGAATGAGAGATAGAGGCTAAGGGCCAAGACTTAAATTGGCATTGAAAAACGTAGGGAACTATAACAAAATAGTAATGGACTTCTTGAAACAATCTCTAACTACCAGGATGGACAACTTTCTTTAAGCCAGGAGCAGAAATTTGCTCTCTCAGCCCACTGGTAATATTACTGAAAGAATGATAATGTCCCTGCTTATTCAGTCCACTTTTATTTTGTGTAGGCATTTAAGTTCTCTGAGAGTACAACTGCACCTTTTCCTATTAGAACATTCCAGAAACAAACAAATATACATAATCCAATTGGACATGGTTCTTGTGTTTGAACCTGTGAAATGGTATTTGTTGATTTGAAAAGTAGACCCAGTACCTGTGGAAATATGCTAGGTAAATGAAGAAGAAGATTTGATCGTTACAAGAACCAGAAAATATTCCTTTTGTTAAAAGCCATGGGGGCACAGTGGTTAGAATGCAACATTGCAGGTTAACCCTGCTCACAGTCTGGAGTTTGATTCTGACTGGCAATTGACTTAGACTCCCATCCTTCCAAGGTTGGTAAAATGAGGGCCCAGATTGTTGGGGGAAATATGCTGACATTGCAATATGCTGAAATTGTAAAGAGAGTGCTATAGAGCACTATGGGATGATATATAAGTTTAAGTGTTATTGCTAAAAAAAGAGCTAGATTTTGATAATGCTTAGAACATTTGGAAGGGTGGAAATCAGAGAATTATTTATCCATTTATTTAATATTTATTAGATTTATGTGCCTCCCATTTCATATAGAGGCCACCTTAGAATAATAGAGTTGAAAGGAGTGACTGAATCCAACTCCTGCTTTGTATTTATAAAAGTTATTAGCTAACTTCTTCCACCATTTTCAGGCAACTGGTTCAAACTGATGTTCATCTTTGGAAGTTGCTTTTTTTGCCCACTAACATTCCTAACTATCAGTAACTATCTGCCAAAAAAAAAGGAGTTTACTTCTGGTGAAATTTCTCACTCCCCTGCCTGTTTTAGAAAATAAAATAAAATAAGAAAAGTTCTGCCCCCAGTTAGTCAATTTGCAGCTGAATTTCTGCAGCACAGTCCCAGGATGCTAGTGATTGCCACAAATTGGATCCCAGGGATTGGGGTGATGTTATATACTCCCTATGGGCTTCTATTTATTTATTTCTGCCTTATTGGAAATAACTCAGCAAAAATAATTTAGAAAGTTTCTATCAGATTACATTAAAATGACCGTTTCATTAACATTTCCTACATATATATATATTTTACCATTCCGAGGCTTACTTTACGTCCAAGGAATCCTGGGTCATATAGAAGCATTTTATTTCCTACCTTTTCACCTTCACAATACTGCTGCAATGAGGATTACATTTAATGACAATGATTTTGCTAAGGCAATTCAACAGACTTTATACTGGGCAGGAATATGAATACAGGTTCCCCAATACTAATCTAGCTTTTAATTTCCTATATTGTATCTCTGGGTTTTCAAAGCACTGTTCCTCATTCAGAAGGAAACTTTGGAATGAAAAGCATTCCCAAAAATTTCCAAGGATTATAACACACCAATTAATTTAACATCAACAAAGAGGCCATGAGTTCTAATCCCACCAGCTGGGTGATTTTGGGCTAGTCACTCTCTATCTCTCTCAGCCCAGCCTACCTCACAGAGTTACTGTTGTGAAGAAAATAGCAGGAGAAAGGAGTATCAGGTACATTCGCCACCTAGAGTTATTTATAAACAATAATAAAGGTAGGAGAAAAAATAAATATCGGCAGAGCTTAAGACAAAATAAGATCCAAAAAGAAGAATATACTCTAAAGAAATGCCTGCATGCATTTTCTGAGAGGAAGAAAAATGATCCCACTAAAAGAGCATTCCATTTTTATATACTGTATAAATAAGTATACATCCCACATATTTCCATATAAAAATACTGATTTTTGTGGTTGTGTGTCTAAAAAAGAACCAGTGAGATTCATTCTGAATCAGAAACAATGGTGCTTGTCACCTTGCAGGATCATTCAACATCTGGTCAGACCGCAAGGTGGCGGTCAGCCAGAGTTTGCCTCAGGCATCCCAAAGACTGCCAACACTTATTACATCAGTGAAATGCAGGATGTGAGAAGCAAGACAAAGCAAATAGTGTAGTCTCTTCTTCAGGAAACTAGATGAATACTCACTCATTTAGAATTTCTATCAGCAGTTCAGTAATAAAGGTAATCCTTGGACATAATTAATTCCTCCTTTTAAAAACAATAAAATCTACATCCAAGATTTGAACTGCCTCAAAAATGACCCTATTTGGTTTTGGGAGTCTGGGAAAAAAATACGTCATTGGATTGCATTATAATGAAGATGAGAGATATGTTCAGAAAGGGTTGTCTCTGCACCATATACTTTAAACTTTCCTAAAAATAATGACTCTTAAATAGTTCATATCTTTGTCTGTGAGATATTGTTTGTTTAAAAGAAATAAATATTCCTAGATATATTAGCATTTAGATTTGGAGTTTCTAGTCTTCTTATTGGAGGAATAGGTCAGGACTCATCAAAATCAGATGAGAATCCTGATATCTTCTCAAAGAAGAACAGGACAATGGGACTTCCAAGGCTAACTGTACATTGGCAGTAACTTTACAGAGCCTTTGCACCCATAAGAATAGACCAGACAATAGGACAGAAAAAGAGCTCCAGGCTGTTGTCAAAAATGCCTTAGACTTGTATCTGTCCCGGAGAAGAAGGAAAAAGGAAGAAGTTAATCATGAAGCCTGAACTGAAACAATATTGAAGGATCTCAGCTTCTCAAGAACTCCAAGCTTAAGACCTAAGATTCCTAGATTTTCTTGAGATAGAAGGCTAACTCTCGTACTAAAACAAGGATTGCCTTCTGCGATGAATACATTTCCTTCAAGTTATTGGATAGGTCTTCAAGAAACAAATAATGTGCTCCTTTAAAAGATATCTTGGAAATGTTTAAGTATCTTAATTCAGTTGGTGCCCTTAAAGCAATCAGGATTGTAGCTCCCAAAGTTCACACTGGACTCTGGGTGAAATCCTGGGAAGGCTGCTTGAATTAATATTGAAGCATCTTGTTTCTTGTTTTCAAACCAATTTCCCTTCATGATGATGTATCAATCAGGAAAAAGGATACACCAAAAAGGGATTCCTATCTACCTCACTGTTGTTGGGTCTGGAGACTGGTTGGGAGGCTGTTTGTTTTTCTGTTTAAAAAAATTTGCATTCCATCAGTTTTAGCTGGCACTGCAAACAGAAAGAAATTATAGGAGTGGGAGTTTAATATTATCTAGGAAGCCACACACTGCAGCAATATAAACTGATCTTGATTTACTTCTAACAGCCATTCCTTCAATCCCAGAGATTAAAAAAAGGTGATGATGGGGTCTTTCACTGATAACCTCTGAATAAATGCCAAGGGATTGATAAGGACTCCCATATAACTATGTTTCCCTTATCATACTGTGCCTTTTGGAATCCTAAAATCAGAACTATAGTAAGTACTAATAGACGCTGAACTGGATAATGCCCATCACCACTGCTTAATTGTTTAAACCATTAAACCTGTATGTTTCACTTCGGAAGGCAAGGATGGCATTACCAGGGATGATGTAATTAATCAATATCAAATAATAAACTTTACAGTGAATAATGAAAGTTAAACTTTACAGCTCAGAATGATGGATATGATGGTTATGTTTGAGCATATGTTTATTATAATTATCCGCATTCAGGTATCTCTATATCAGGGGTCAAACTCGATTTCATTGAGGGCCACATCAGGCTTGGGGTTGACCTTGGGGGCCCAGGGGGCATGGCTGGGGTGGTAGTGGCCAGCTCAACACTGCTCACATCGGAGGGTGGTGCCTATGGTGCCCAGGGTGGGGGTTGGGGATCCATTGTCTGCATGGGACGACGGTGGCCCCTCGCAGACTGCAGGGCAGCCCCGCAGATCTAAGGTTGACTGCGTTCAGGCCCAGATGGCTGCCACCAAGTTTTAGATCAGTGCTTGGATGACCTGGGCCGGGGCTGAGGCGCCAGGGGACAGCCCTTCAGTGTTTCTTTGTGGGCCAGATCTAACCACATTGTGGGACAGATCTGGCTCCCAGGCTTTGAGTTTGACATCCCTGCTTTATATAATAAGCTAAAAGTGGCACTGCATCAGAAAATCTTATATGCCATCAAAGAATTTCAAAATCAGGGCAACTGAAAAAGTCAGTGGTTCTTGACCATCTCTGAAACCTATCACTGATCATTCCTGATCAGAAGTAGGAAGCTAAAGAATATTCAGCTTCTTTCATAGCGTTTTCTTATATCATTAAAAAAAAAGGAGTGGCAGTCTCTATTGTAGAATAGGGACAGGTGATCAACAAATGTCTATTGCAAGAATAAAAGTAAGAGGAGGGAGGAGGAGGAGGAGGAACTATTATTTTGACAACTGCAATGTCTGAGTCATCTTCCAGACTACTGGAAATATGGTAGAAACACAATGATGGGGAAAAAAGAAACCTCAGCATTTAGGATGAAATGGCTCCTGGCCAAGTACAATGGAAGGAATTGCACACATTTACAAGTTCTCTGCATTAAGTCAGCATCCTCAAAGGAAAGGAGGGAAAAAAAGGACATCTGCTTGGCCTCTAGATCAGCAGTGAAGTATTTATGCTGTCTACGCAACCAACACCCTTTCAACAGGATATGGCAGCTGTTTCTTTGTAGGCATCTAACCTGTGCTATTGCATAATCAGAAGAGTTGGTTGCCTGCATGCCTTCATTGCCACTGATCCCCACTCCAACATGAGCCGTCTGGATCATTCCAACATCGTTGGCACCATCCCCTATGGCCAGAGTGATGGCATTCACATGTTTCTTTACCATGTCTACTATTTCTGACTTCTGCAGAGGAGACACCCTAGGGGAAGAAGAAGAAAAAAGTCTGTCAGTTTCCAAACTATGTGTGACTTTTAAAGGGAGAACTGCAGATTGAAAAAAAAAAAAGGCAATCACTGGAAAATTTCCTGCTCCAATACTTCAGGTGTTAGAGTGCATGCCAAATCCCCCCTTCCTTCAAATCCACTGTGGATGGAAGACTCATCAAGAATAGTAGGCTAAAAACGTTTTGATTACCCAAAAACATTTTTTCCAATTCTTATACCATATGATAGCTCTCTCTAGATGTGTTGAGATATCAACGTTCTTAATTCCATCTTTTAGTAGCTGGCAGATTACAGGGATTGAAGGCCAAGAAATTAGAGGGCATTGGATTGGGAAAAGGTATAAGACTAGTATTGAAATTGCTATATTGAAAGAGTTTTGTCCTTATTCACAAATACAGTGCATACACATTTCCTATTCAAGTGCTCTGCAGAACTTCTGGAACTACTGCCAACTATCATGTGTCTGGAGGGGATAGTGCACACAGATCTCTCTGAAGAAATTAGGTTTTACCTGTTTTAAGCTTCTTGTCTTTATGTTGTCTGTACAATGCAACTGGACTCAAGAAGAAAGAACATAGGAAACTGTTTTAGACACTTTCAATTGCTTAGTTCAATATTGTCTTCTGTATCAATGTCTCCCCAGAGTCTCTGTCAAAAGTGTTTCTCATCATTTGCTACTAGAGCTTCCCAAAAACAAAACAAAACCCAGAAATACCAGACTGAGGAATCTAGAAAAATGATACAATTGGTTTCAAAAGAAATGGAGGTGCTCTTTCAGCTAGCGCATAACTATTTGTGAACCAATACCCACAAGATGCATTGATGTCTACTAAGTTGAATTGCTTTTAAAAGGGAGAGGAGAATGATTTTAAAAGGGAGTCTTGGAGAATGGATTTTTTACTATTGCCTATCTATGACAACTATGTGTTACCTCTATTAATAGGAAAATTAGCTTTGACCAACTTTAGCGAGATGGTATTGTGCATTTGTGTCCTGCATGTGAGTTTCTGTTGGCTGACCATTATGAGACTAGAACATTGGCTGGAGGGACCTTTCAATCAGATCCAGAATAAAAAGAAAAGATTTTATTTTTTAAAATGACTTTCAACTTACAAAGTATAGGTTCTCCCACTAAGCAAGTGTCAGCTCAGCAAGGTAGACCAGACCAAACCAATGCCAGATGGGTCAGAACTATTTTATTATAACAACTGTAGTAACACTATTTTGTAATTTTGAATGCACTTCCTTCTCTCTCCCTTTATCTTCATGTGAACTAGGGAGAAGTTTATCTGGAATGCTTTCTCATGTTCTTTTCTTGGCCCAAGCTCAGTCCCACTTACAGTATCAGACTATCACCATGACAGCAATTCATTCTCCTGTTCTTCAAGGCCATCCCTATCCCTTTACTAATAGGTTCTACTAATAAGCTACATTGATCAAGCATGTGATACCTGATAATCAGAGGACAGACTGCTGAAAGGAGCCACTGAATCCTTCAAATCATTGAATAGTTGAATTTGGCATGCAAAAAGAGACTATAATTCAATGATTTGGATTAATAATGCAACTTATAGGTCCATTTGTAATCTACAAACTTTTCAAAGCTGCTAATATTACTCCTACTGCTTGCAGCAGTCCTTTGCTTTATTTTTCTCCTCCATATCTTTTTAGAACTCATAGCTGCAAAGTTATAATTATACAGAGATAAAGAAATAGATTTATGTTGCCCTGAGTTGTACAAAATAAAGGCAAAATATAAATCAAATAAATGCAGACATAAATCTAGTTATAGATATATATACAAGGTGACAACATTGACCAATCTCTTTACAAACTAGAAGAGTTTCTTCTTATCTGGGGCACATTGGTGAATTACTCCAGAGTTTTAAATCCCTATTTGGTTGAGACCCCGTCTAAATTTTTTACTTTATGAGTTGCAATCAGGAATGAAAACAGACTGTAGTTTTGGCAGTATTTTATATTTATCAGAAGAATACCAGTCTTAGAATTTAACATGGATGAAACTCAATATCATCTATGTTTCAGTGAGATTATTCACAGGTAAGCAATTTATTTTAATACTATGGTAAAGTAAATCAATGCTGTAATCTTTCAAGTAAAAAGATTTATCAATCGCCTCTATGAGAATCTTTTGTCCAAAGATACTTAGACTAAATTAGTTAAATTTCCTTTTCAGTCAAACTTTCCTAATGCTTAGTCTTTTGAATAAAAGCTTTCCCAAAGATAAAAGTTAGCACATGAAGACTAATGATAGAATTTCCCAAGTAATTAAATCTACAAACAAAGCACTGTGGGAAACTATTCTTTGATAACATGAAAATTAAACAGATTTACAAGTTTAAGCCAACTTTCTCCAATTTGATGCTCACAATAATTGAGAAAACATAGCATTTCCTTATCTGGTTCTCTCCAGGGATTGGACAACTGCCACAAGTGCTATGAAGTTTAAAAAGAACTCTGCCATTGGCCTGTTCAGAATAGAACTGGGAATTTCAAATGAGGAAGGTCATGTAATAAAATGTCATCTTCCTTAGGGATAAGAATGATAATTAAAGAACTGAAAGGAAAAATAAGAATATATGGATAGTTTTTATAATGAAGGCATGAAAATAGGGTTTTCAAATAACATTCTTGGGCCCTCACATTTTTAATGATAAGAAACAGTATCTAGAGTTGAGAGTCAGCAGGATTCCTGATTTTACAAAATACTGTAGCAATATTAAAAGAAATAATGTCAATAAAGGAAATTACAAAGAAATTCTCCTAATAATGAGTAATTAAATATAAGCAAATGTGGAATGGTGCACCTCAGAACTAAAAGTGATACACTCTGCAGATAACTGAGAAAACTGTTAGAGAAGGAAACTTAGGTTATAGTGTTTAGATTGGCCTAGTGCGCTATGTACAAACTCTATGTCTAGAAGAATTTGGAAGAAGTTAAATGTTTTAAAGGTTGAAACATAATTCTAAATCTCATGACCATAAGATATTTTTACATGTAGATACTTCTAGAAAGCTTGCAAGTAACCTCCTAAATGTAAAAAAAAAAAAAACAACTAAGAAGGATTTAAGAATGAATGACTATGGAAATCCTCAGTCATCTAGGTCATGGTTGGTGCTTTTTCAAAAGGCAACTTGACTTTTTTCTTGAAGACATTTTGCTTCTCATCCAAGCAGCTTCTTGGTGCTAATTTGATACCATGCATCCTTGCAAGCTTTTGTTAAGGTATACCAAGTCTTCTGTGGGCCTTCCTTCTGAAGAAGTTCTGAAGAAGCTTCTTGGATGAAAAGTAAAATGTCTTCAAGGAAAAACAAAGACCAGTTTTGAAAAGGCACCTTTGAGACCTCAGAAATGAAGGTGGACTTCTTAGAAATAAGGGGAAATAGACAGAGTGTACCTATTTTGTATGGGATATCTTAATGGAGATCAAGTGGTTCAGGTCTTTTTTCATTTGAAATGCACGGATACAGTTGTTTTATTTGTCTGCTTGCTTGTTTTTTAGTAGAAAATAGATGAATGATACAAAAGTTAGCATTTTTATTCTATAGAGTTCATTTTGTGAGCTTTACTTTTAGCTAATGGAAGAATTGAGCTGTTTAAGAACATATTTATGACTGCATATGTTCTTTGTGTTACTGGAAGCTTACACTGGCTACTGTGCTTGGGGGGGAGTGATAAATAAAAAAAAATACTCAGCAGCCATCCTTTTGCTTGCTTGTTTTTAAGATAAAGATGTGCCTCTATCAGCAGAAAGACATGTTATGCTAAACACATTAGTACATCTGGGAAATGTGTAAGGAGATGAGAGGAAAGCATCTTCCAAGGGAGAAAAAGAGAGGCCTGATTTCCTCTAACTGAAAAGTATAAGTGTAGTATTTCCAAGGATAGAAGGATACTTATCAATAACAGAGAATGTTTGTAGCTCAGGATTGAAATGAAGGATCCTTGGTGCTCTCTGAGCTTGACTGCTTTCTTGCAGACATTTCATTACCCAAACTAGGTAACACCATCAGTGCTAGACAAGCTCAGAGAGCACCAAGGATGCCTCAGAGGGATACTTACACTAGAATATTCTTTACACGATTCAACTTAACATTATTTGGCCAATATTTGAAATTGAAACAATGATTGTAAAATGTCTTTTGTAAAAATGGCACTGATTGTGATAAGCCCTCCCTACCATTTTTCCACCAATATTCAGACTCCAAAAAACTAGCCTTTAAGGTCTTCTTCACCTCAAGTGAAGAAAACAATTGCCTGAATCCAGTTCTCCTGTGATATATGTACCAGTGCCTTCTTTGGTAAAAACAAATTATGATGTCCCTGTCTCCTGCCCACAAGTCCATTAAATAGAAAATGGAATATATTATGGGAAACTGTGATTTAAATAGATGGCTTTATTATATTCATTTTTGGTTGCAACAGGAATTAAAATTATATATTTTAATGTCTTTAGCACAAAATGTGTTAATTTGATATCTTGCTTCCTTGTAAGCTTTTCTTAAGACATACAAAGCCTTTGTGAGCTTTCCTTCTTTGAAAGTAACATTTATTTATTACAGATTACCATTACTAATTTTTAAAGCAATATACCTATTTTTTTTAAAAATAGCTTCCCTCCCAATCCTACAAAAGGCAAGACAAATGGCAAAATTTGTAATGTTCAAGATAAAAGGCCAAAGAATGATGCTATACTTTCCTACCAAGTCAAACACGTTAATTTCAGGTCCCAGATTTTTTAAAAAAGTTGCACAATATTGTCCAGTGACAAGGTAGGAAAACCAAACCTTACATTTATTTTGTGTCTTTGGGATCTATGGGCTGTCTTTAATGGTTGCAGACGAATTCCACTTATCACAAAAATCTCAAATTGTGACACAAATGGAAGTTAGCAGAATAAATAACATGGCTGTATCTCTTTTACATTTCTAATGACCTCAATCAATATGACAA